TTTTTTTTTTTTTTTTTTTTTTTTTTTTTTTTTTTTTTTTTTTTTTTTTTTTTTTTTTTTTTTTTTTTCAGGAGATTTTGTCCATCAAACCGAATCAATCTAGTCGGGTTCAAAAAATTAACTCAATTCTTATCATTCGGGTTGAGCGAATTGACTCATTGAATGTATATCCTACTCACACTCGAATTAGCTAAGAAGAGGAAAAAAAAAACACTTGAAAATGTGAAAAATAAGTCAAAATCGGAGTTACAAAGGACAAATTACCTAAAAATAGGCCCAATTGGGCCGAACTAGGGTCGAACGGTCTACATTGGGCTGCCCGCAAGTTAGACCGCCCCAGTTGGGTCAGGTCGCTTGAGTTCACCCGTTCACGTGGCGCCTAGATCAAGTGTGTGCCTTATAGTAGCATTTATGCTCGCATAAACAAAGTAATTGCTAAAGATTAAGGTAAGTAGGTACCTTCTAAGAACAGCTCGTTGATGATCTAACAAAACCCTTGTCTGAGTTCAAGTTTAGTGAGCTAAAGAATAAACTCAACGTCATTGCTCCCTCATTGAGTGTCTAATGCCGATGGCTGAGAGCCATGACGCAATTCCATTCATGAGAACCATTTGTTTCCACAGCCATCGCTTTCATCTCTTCATTTCCATGGCTACTTTTTCTTCCCATCAAAGCCTCTTTTTCTGGACCCATCGAATGAACTTTCCCACTTCCCATGATTTGCTTCATGTCTCTCGTGTCTCCCTGCTTAATTTGGAGCATAATGACCAAAGAAATTCCGGGCCTTGTATTTAACTAATGGCTATACTCTCTCCGCCATTCTCTCTCTGTATCCGTGTCAGACTTTTCTTGTGCTGCTCTCGAGAATCGTGTACGCCCCACTGCTAGATACCCACCTCCCTCTTTATCCTTGCGCCCCTTTGGTTTGTTCCCTTCTTGCAATGGAGTCCTCTACGATCATGGCTAGTAGAGCTACCACTTCCTCTGTTTTCTCCTTTTGTTCAAACCCAAATTCTAAGAGTACCCATGTGAAATTTCTTGCTCAAAAACCTCCCATACCGTTCTTCGAGACCCATAAATGCAATCAATCACTAAAATCCAATACCCAAAATCTCGGCTCTCGTTTCGCCTGCTCTGCTGCGACCCTTTCGCCGTCTTCTACCACTGAGCTTGTTCCCTTTAAGCTTCATCGCTTGATTGAGGAATTCGAGTCAATATCCGAGCCGGTCGATAGAGTGAAACGGTTGCTACGTTATGCGAGTCTTCTTCCTCCTTATGGTGCGAGAAATGACTCGAATCGGGTCATGGGGTGTACGGCACAGGTGTGGTTGGAAGTGAGGATTGATGAAGAGGGCAAGATGAGGTTCGCTGCTGATAGTGATTCGGAAATTTCTAAAGGGTTTTGCTCGTGTTTGATTTCGGTGCTTGATGGTGCGTTGCCAGAGGATGTTCTTAGGTTGAAGACGGACGATTTGGTGGCTCTGAATGTGGGGTTGCCGGTTCGAGAGCGATCGAGAGCAAACACTTGGTACAATGTTTTGATTAGTATGCAAAAGAGAACTAAGGGTTTGATTGCGGAGCTTGAAGGGAAATCGCCATTTCAGGCGTTTCCATCTCTGGTTGTGAGTGCTGATGGAATTCATGCTAAAGGAAGCTATGCTGAAGCTCAGGTTAGTGATGGTAGAAAATGAAGAACAGAGAGCTGTGTGTTCCTGTTTGTTAATATTAGAAAACCCTGCATGGGTATCATTATGATATTATATATCATTCTGTTTCACTCACTAGAGCACATGCATGGCCTGAGAGCATGTTTTTCACTGTAGTGTAGTTGGTATAGGTAAAAGCTCAAGTCCATCGCTAATAGATATTGTCGTCTTTGGGCTTTTGATTTCATGCTTCCCCTCAAAATCTTTTAAATGCATTAGCTAGGGAGAGGTTTCCACACCCTTATAAAAAATATTTCATTCTTCTCTCAACTGATGTGGGATCTCACAACCCATTCCTTTGGGGGCTAGCGTACTCGTTGGCACTCGTTCCCTTTCTCCAATCGATGTGGGACCCCCCCAATCCACCCTAATTTGGGACCTAGTGTCCTTGCTAGCACACAGCCTCATGTCCACCCCCCTTCGGGGCTCACCTCCTCGATGGCACATCGCTTGGTGTTTGACTCTTTTACCCTTTGTAACAGCCCAAGCTCATTGTTAACAAATATTGTATTCTTTGGGTTTTCCCTTTCAAGCTTCCCCTCAAGGTTTTTAAAACGCGTCTGCTAGGGAGAGGTTTCCATACTCTTATAAAAAATGTTTGTTCTCCTCCCCAATTGAGGTGGGTCACTTTTGGAAAAAGTTAGAATTTGGTTTGATTTGTTGATGTTTTGTAGGTTATGGGTGGCAGATTTGGATGTTCTACATCAGTTTTTCATTGTTATATATTGTAATTGGTTTCTGGTAGCAGTTCATTTATTCAAGTTTCTCTTCAGGCAAGATATTTGTTCCCAAATGATTCTATGGTGAAAGAACTTGTCGAAGTTCTAAGGGAGAAGAAAATTGGTGTTGTTGCACACTTTTACATGGATCCTGAAGTTCAAGGAGTCTTAACTGCTGCCCGGAAGGAATGGCCTCACATTTATATATCTGATTCATTGGTAATGGCAGATATGGCTGTCAAGATGGCTAAAGATGGATGCCAATTTGTAGCAGTACTTGGTGTAGATTTCATGTCAGAAAATGTGCGTGCAATTCTTGATCAAGCTGGCTTTGGAGAGGTGCTTCTTCTTCCTCTCAAACTTCTTTAACTTTTTATCATTATCTAATAGATATGTAAGATGAGCTGACCGTGAAAGTAAGTCAAGCCCACCACTAGCAGATATCGTCCTCTTTGAAATTTTTCTTTCGGGTTTTCCATCAAGGTTTTTAAAACGTGTCTGCTAGGGAGAGGTTTCTACACCTTTATAAACAATGTTTCGTTCTCCTCCCCCACTGATATGGGACGTCAAAATCCGCCCCCTCCCGAGCCCAACATCCTCATTAGCACGGTTCCTTTCTCCAATGAATGTTGGACTCCCCAATCCACCCTCCTTCAAGGCCCAACGTCTTTACTGGCACACCAACTCGTGTCCACCCCTTTCAGGGCTCAACCTCCTCACTAGCTGATACCTTTGTAACAGCCCAAGTCCACTGCTAGCAAATATTGTCCTCATTGGACTTTCCTTTTTGGGCTTCCCCTTTAGGTTTTTAAAACACGACTATTTGAGAGAGGTTTCCACACCCTTATAAAGAATGTTTCATTCACTTCCCCAACCGATGTGGGATATCACAATCCATCCCCTTCGGGGCCCAGCGTCCTCGTTAACACTCGTTCTCTTCTCCAATCGATGTGGGACCCTCCAATCCACCCCTTTGGAGCCCAACGTCTTTGTTGGCACACCGCCTCGTGTCCACCCCCTTTTGGCACATCGCCCAGTGTCTGTCTTTGATACTATTTGTAACAGCCCAAGCCTACCGCTAGTAGATATTGTCCTCTTTAAGCTCTCCCTTTTGGGTTTCCCCTCAAGGTTTTTAAAACGCGTCTGCTAGGGAGAGATTTCCACACCCTTATAAAGAAAGTTTTGTTCTCCTTTCCAACCGACGTGGGATCTCACATATGAGGTAACTTACTCAAAAGCGTACTGACTGTTCCTGATATCCAAACCTTCCCATGCCGGATGTCCATTAAAGCCTCTTAGAAGTTGCCTTATAACCTCCCAGTGTATAGATAAAACTTGTTCACTTTACATCACAGTACGTTTCTTTACCTTCTATAGATAAGCTCAGGTGCTGCTGATCCAATTATTTAGCAGTGGAACGATTAAGATATTGATAATGGTTCCATATATATGCAGGTAGGTGTGTATAGGATGTCTGATGAACAGATCAGTTGTTCTTTAGCTGATGCTGCTGCTACTCCTTCTTATATGAACTATCTTGAAATGGCTTCAAGGGAGGCTCCCTCCCTGCATGTTATCTACATAAATACATCATTAGAAACTAAAGCCTATGCTCATGAGCTTGTGCCTACAATTACGTGTACTTCTTCTAATGTCATGCAAACAATTTTGCAGGTAGAAAACACTCCCATTTGCATTTATTATGATTCTTATCGATCTTTTAGCAGCAAGTAAAATCGACTTCGAAATACCCTGTTACAGGCTTTTGCTCAAGTACCAGAATTAAATGTTTGGTATGGGCCTGATTCCTACATGGGTGCAAATATTGTAGAACTTTTGCAGCAGATGACCAAGATGACGGATGACGAAATTGCAAAGATTCATCCAAATCATAATAGGGACTCGATTAGATCATTGCTCCCTCGTCTGCACTACTATCAGGTTTTTTTTTCGAACGTGTTTTTTCCTGTTTTTGCCTTATGTTTTGTAACAGCCCAAGCCCACCACTAGCAGATATTGTCCTCTTTAGACTTTTCCTTCCAGACTTCCCCTCAAGGTTTTAAAATGTGACTGCTAGGCAGAGGTTTTCACACCCTTCCATTTCCCTCTACAATCGATGTGAGATCTCACAATCCACCCACTTCGGGGCTCAATATCCTCACTGGCACACCGTCCGGTGTTTGGCTCTGATACCATTCGTAACAGCCCAAGTCCACCGCTAGCAGATATTGTCCTATGTGAGCTTTCCCTTCCAGACTTTCCCTCAAGGTTTCAAAACGCGTCTGTTAGAGAGAGGTTTCCACACCCTTCTAAGGAATGTTTCGTCGATGTGGAATCTCACAATCTACCCCTTTCGGGACTTAGCGTTCTCACTGGCACACTGCCCAGCGTTGGCTTTGATACCATTTGTAACGGTCCAAGCCCAACACTAGCAGATATTGTCCTCTTTGGGCCTTTCCTTCTGGACTCCCCTAAAAGTTTTAAAACGTGTCTGATAGGGAGAGATTTTCACACCCTTCTAACGAATATTTCGTTCCCCTCTCCAATCGACGTGGGATCTCACATTTTCACCCTTTATCTTCATCATGGGCTTTGGTAGAACATGCATGTATAAATCTTATGCCTCAACTATCTTTCTAGATCATGATATCTTTGCAGATTTTGGCACCCTTCTTTTAACACTTCTTATCCCAGATTGTGTTGATTGCAGAACCTTCACTAGCCTATTTACCTACAGATTACCATCATTATCACTTGATATAATTGATGTCTTCTAATTTCAGGAAGGTACATGCATTGTTCATCATCTTTTCGGGCACGAAGTTGTGGAGAAGATAAATGAAATGTACTGTGACGCATTCCTTACTGCTCACTTTGAAGTTCCTGGAGAAATGTTTGTCTTAGCAATGGAAGCAAAAAGAAGAGGAATGGGAATTGTAGGTTCCACCCAGAACATATTAGACTTCATAATACAAAGGGTGCAAGAAGCTTTAGACAGAAATGTTAATGAACATCTACAATTTGTGTTGGGAACAGAATCTGGAATGATAACTTCAATTGTTGCAGCTGTTCGTAATTTATTAATTTCTTCAAAAACCACTTCTGGAGGAGCAAAGATCAATGTAGAGATTGTCTTTCCTGTGTCGTCGGATTCAGTGACAAGCACATCATCAAGTTCGTCCCCCGGCCAAAAATTGGTTGCGCTCGGTGAGATCAATTTACTTGTAGTACCTGGAGTTTCGAGTGGGGAGGGATGTTCTATTCATGGTGGCTGTGCATCTTGTCCATACATGAAGGTTAGTATATATATAGTTAATTTACGCCCGTTCGATAATTGATTGGTTTTTGAAAATCAAGTTTATAAACACTATTTCCATTCTATAAATGAAAACGGTAACTGCCCAAGTTCACCACTAGCAGATATTGTCCTCTTTGGCTTTCCCTTCTGAGCTTTTCCTCAAGGTTTTAAAACGTGTCTACTAAGGAGAGAGGTTTTCACACCTAGGAATGCTTTGTTCCCCTCTCTAACCGATTTGGGATCTCACAATCCACCCCCTTGGAGGACCAGGGTCCTCACTAACACAACGCTCAATGTCTAGCTCTAGTACCATTTGTAAGAGCTCAAGCCCACTGTTAGCAGATATTGTCCTCTTTGGGTTTTCCCTTCTGAACTTCCCCTCATGGTTTTAAAATACGTCTACTAGAGAGAGGTTTCCACATCCTTATAAGGAATGTTTCATTCCCTTCCCCAACCGATGTGAGACCTCACAATCCACCCCTTGGGGAACCAACGTCCTCGCACACCGCTCTGGCTCTGATACCATTTGTAACCACCCAAACTTATCGCTAGTATATATTGTCTTCTTTGAGTTTTCCTTTTTGGGGCGTGTTTACTAGGGAGAGGTTTTCACACCCTTGACACGAATGTTTGGTTTCTCTCTCCAACCCATGTAGACCTAAGAAAAAAATAGTTTTTAGTGTTATTAGTATAATTGTGCTGATGTGGTGTGATGTGATCTGATGAAACTTGGTGTGGAATTCTGATACTGTCTTGTTTGGGATCATCCAGATGAATTCTCTCAGCTCTCTTATGAAAGTTTGTCAAGATCTTCCCCATAACAAAGCTGCTATCTCAGCTTATGAAGCCAAGAGATTCAAACTGCACACAGTAACTGGAAAATCAGTTGCAGATATTGGATGCGAACCAATTTTGCACATGAGAGAGTTCCAGGTTTGTTCCTTTGAATCTGCTACTCTTCCGAGTTGTCTGGTTTAACGTTCTTGTTTCTTGTTTCTTGTCTCTTGTTTCTTGTTTCTTGTTTCGGGTTTTGTGAACTAGAAACATTCGGTAACTCAAAACAAGAATCCGGATCGTATTCTCCTTGTTCATACTAATTGGTGTTGATTCTTTCTGACTGAATCTTTCTTCAGGCTGGAAAACAGCTGCCGGAGAAACTTGTTCATCAGATCATGAACCGGTAATATCAATGGTGACAGTTTCAGCAAGTCAATCGGCTGCTGTTGTCCAAGGATGATTCTCTCTTGTGAGTCAAGTTTTCCCATCAGTTTGTTTTATTCGACTTTTGAATTGTATATACCTTTAACTTTATGCTCAAGTTGAGCTCGAAAATTTGGGTCGTGCCAATATATATAATTATTATTAGCTAAATTAATTTAAAAAAAAAACCTTTGAACTTATACATATTACTTGTCAGATTGTACTTATACATACCACTCAGTAACAAGTGAGCAAACTTGTGATTGTGCAGCACTCACTTCTCAGCAACAAATGAGTGAACTTGTAATTGTGCAGCACTCACTTCTCAGCAACAAGTGAGTTAAGTCAATTCGTTCTTGTGTCGCCTACGACCAAGCGATATATGCTCGAGCCTCTAGCCCGGTTCAAGGAGAAAGTTTTAGAAAACGGGGGTAGAGAGATTTCGAAAGAGAGTTTTGAAAGATTGAAATTGGTGTTATATGTGATGCAAGCAAAAAGGTAGCAATAACGACAGCATATAACTATCGGGTAGGAAGAAGTTGACAACTAGTTATATCTCCCTATAGTACATTTTGGGGTATTTTTGCCCCGGTGTAGATGTGATTCTGGTGGATAGTCATGCATCCCTATATTGACTCGATATGAAATGGTAAAGACCTATCTAAGATGAAAGCATGAAAAATGGGTTTGAAACGGGCATGCAATCATTAGGCAACACGTCTTGGACAAGCATGACCGTGACAACCTTCCTCACTTAATTAGTTGACGCCCCTATCAACCGACTTGAACAATACATCTATCATGCGGCCATAAGCAACATGTTTTGAACTAGCATGACCGTGACATCTTCTTTATCAACCGACTCAGACAAGCAAGACTGAAACATCTGTCAAATTTTAAAATCTCTCAAAAATACCTCTAAATTTTAAAAAGTTAATGATCCGTTAAAAAATATATTTTTATCAAATTTTATAACTAATATTTTAATTTAAATCATTTAATTTAATATTATAAGTAAAAGTGAAAGTCAATCAATTAATTTAAAGAAATAAAAAATAATTAAACTCGTTGACAAGTGTGTATTTTATTTAAAAAACGTGAAATTACAAAATTAATCTTGGAATTTAGTGTTTATTTCCTTTTTATAATTTAATATTTGTTAAAATCTTTTTTAAAAAATAAATTCATAATTTAACCCTTAAAAATGACCTCATTGATTGGATTGGACCACGTAGTAAGTCAGTCAAAGGGCAATATAATCATTACAATATATTGTTAAGGCTATTTCAGTCATTTCGACTTCAACAAACTATTCTCACCAGCTAATCGCCACCATAGATGATGTCTATAACTAAACGCCTTCTCGGCTTAGCCATTTTTGTTTTCTTCTATTTCTCTGAACTTGCCTGAACGGCGCATTGTTGATTCTCTTAGCATTTTTTTTTTCCATTTCTCTCAGGAATCAGGAGGAATCAGGTAATTTGAATTATGAATTTCCCTCCGATTTCGTTCTTGTTTTTCCCATTCATCAAGGAGTTCGATTTTCTGTTTCATTTGTTTTGCGATTAGCGTTTGATGTTCTTCGTTATTCGTTGAGCTTTTTGGCTTTATCTGGCGTTATTTCTAAGTATAATGCCTGAGTATTCAATCCTTTTGTTCATGAGTTCCTTTCAATTTGCTCTTTAAGGGCTTTTTTATGCTTTCCGAGTTTCGAGTTGATCGATATGTTGCTGCATTGGGAACTTTCTCGAGTTCGAACATCTGCTTGCTGTTTGTTTAGGCTTTGGAGTTTACTTGTTCTGTTTAGTTATTAGAAGAAGATTTTAGTACGCCTTGGCTATTAATGTCTGTGCTCTCTGATTGATGATTTGGGTTTAATTTTGATCCATATACCACAATCTAGTGAATTGATGGTAGGAGTTTTGATGGGTAGATTTATTTTCATGGAGATATTGTTATATCAGGTGAAAAGAAATACTTAATAGGAATCACGAACCTCCACAATGGTATGATATTGTCCCCTTTGAGCATAAGCTCTCATGATTTTGCTTTTAGTTTCCCAAAATGCCTTGTATTAATGGAGATGTATTCCTTAGTTATAAACCCATGATAATTCTCTTAATTAGCCAATGTGGGACTCCCTCCCAACAATCTTCCACTCGAACAAAGTACACCATAGAAGACCTATAGAGCTCTTGAACAACCTCTTCTTAATTGAAGCTCGACTCCTTTCTCTGGAGCCCTTGAACAAAGTATACCCTTTGTTCGAGAGTCAATTTTTTACTACACCTTCGAGGCTCACAACTTCTTTATTCAACACTAGAAGATATTATTGATATGGCTAAGTTAAGGGCATGACTCTGATACCATGTTATGAATCACGAACCTCCACAATGGTATGAAATTATCCACTTTGAGCATAAGCTCTTGTGGTTTTGCTTTTGGTTTCTCCAAAAGGCATGATACCAATGGAGACATATTTCTTACCTATAAACCCATGATTATTCTCTTAATTAGTCAATGTCGGACTTCCTCCCAACAATCCTCTATCTATCTAATTTTCTTGATGAAGCTCCTAATTCATAACTTTTAGTCTCCCACAAGTGTTGCATTTGACAATTCCTTGTCAGAAAAGTTTCTGATACACCCTAGTACAAAACCAGATCTTTTATCACTGTCTCTAACCTATTGTATTGTTTGCCCCCTGTCTTCTCTTTTTTGTGGACTGGTAGAGGGAAGATTATCACAACTTTCTTGGGGAGCTTTTCATTGGACATGTTTCATTCCTTTCTTTTCGGTGTCTTGTTCTTCACAACAAAAATATATGTATTTTTAAATCCTTATTGACCATTTGGATCACCGATAGTTAATTTCTTACTATGACAAGCCAGGAAACTTGAGAATAAGTTCCCTTGCAAAATATTGTTGAGGATTGTTGGGAGAGGAGTCTCACCTCGGCTAATTAAGATGTTGATCATGGGTTTATAAACAAGGAATACATCTCCATTGGTACGAGGCCTTTTGGAGAAACCAGAAGGAAAGCCACGAGAGATTATGCTCAAAGTGGAAAATATCATACTCTTACGAAGGTCCGTGATTCTTCACAAATACCGGTGTTTCTTTCTTATCTTAAATGTAAAGAACTTTTTCATCTCCTTATATTTATTCTTTTATTCATACCACCTATACAGTTCAGCCCAATGCAGAAACAAGGGTAAGAATGTCAGGTGTCCCATTTCATTATATCCGAGACAAAGTAACTTAAGGTTGTGCTGCTTTGGTAATCAAATGAGACAAGCCTAATAGAACAGCCATGCCATTGAAAAGACACATAGTGCTAGATGTCAGACGCTAGGTACATATGCGAGTCATAATCAGGTGGTAACATTTTTTGTTCAGTGGAAGAACACAGTAAATTAACTGGTTCACTGTATGATTTTCATCCTATTTCCACCTATTTTGGTCATGTTAGGATGAGACGGTAAGAAATCACGACTCTCCACAATAGTATGATATTGTCCACTTTGAGCATAAGCTCTCATGGCTTTGCTTTGAGCTTCCCCAAAAGACCTCATGGCAATAGAGATCTATTCCTTATAAAGCCATAATCATTCCCTAAATTAGCCAATGTGGGACTCCCTTCCAACAATTCTCAACAATCCTCCCCTCAAACAAAGTACACTATAGAGCCTCCCCTAAGACCTATGGAGCCCTCGAACAGCTTCCCTTTAATCAAGACTTGACTCCTTCTCTAGAGTTCTCAAACAAAGTACATCTTTTGTTCGACACTTGAGTCACTTTTGACTATACCTTCGAGTCTCACAACTTCTTTGTTCGACATTTGAGGATTTGATTTACCTAAGTTAAGGGCATGGCTCTAATACCATGTTAAGAATCATGACTCTCCACAGTAGTATGATATTGTCCACTTTGAACATAAACTCTTATGGCTTTGCCTTGGTCTTCCCCAAAAGGTCTCGTGTCAATGGAGATGTATTCCTTATAAACCCATGATCATTCCCTAAATTAGCCAATGTGAGACTCCCTCTCAACAATCCTCAACAAAGACTTCGGTAGATTAACTGTTCTATTTGTTGATGAGACATATTTATAGCCTTAGGAAACTTTCTCCCCGTGATTCATTTGATTGCATGATGACCACTTTTTGAACTTGTAGTAAACAAACAGCTATTTGGTTCTCAAAAATTTCTCCTATGGCATCTTATTTTCATAATTCATGTTGTTCTGATAGGATTCACGTCTTAACTACAATATGGCCTCTGCAAATGGAATAGGTCATATTCAAGGAAAGCAGCCATTATTTTCTTTTGGTGTTATCGCCGACGTTCAGTATGCTGATATTCCCGATGGTCAATCATTCCTCGGTACTCCCCGTTATTATCGACATAGTATTCTCGTCCTGAGAAGGGCAGTTCAAAACTGGAACAACCAACAAAGGCTTAAATTCGTCCTAAATTTTGGAGATATTGTTGATGGATTTTGCCCCAAGGACCAATCTCTCAAGTCTATAAAGAAAGTTGTTAGTGAATTTGATAACTTTAATGGTCTAGTTTATCATATGATTGGAAACCATTGCCTCTACAATCTCCCTCGTAAAGAATTGCTTCCATTGTTGAAGATTCCAATACTTGAGGGAGGTCATGCTTATTACGACTTTTCGCCTACTCCAGATTTCAGATTCGTCGTACTCGATGGCTACGATATAAGCGCTATCGGTTGGCCTAAGGGTCATCCTAATTCAGTAGAAGCTCTCAAAATTCTATCCCAAAAAAACCCAAATGCAGACAAGAACAGCCCCTCAGGATTGACTGGCTTAGATAGAAGATACCTTATGTTCAACGGAGGAGTTGGTAAAGAACAGTTGAAATGGTTAGATAGTATACTTCAGGAAGCCACAAATTTAAAGCAAAAAGTGATTGTTTGCTGTCATTTGCCTCTTGATCCTGGGGCGACATCTTTTGCAGCACTTTTATGGAACTACGACGAAGTAATGGACCTGATACATAGCTACAATTGTGTGAAAGTTTGCCTAGCTGGGCACAATCATAAGGGTGGATATGCCATTGACTCCCATGGAATACACCATAGAGTTCTTGAAGCTGCCCTCGAATGCCCCCCCGGCACCTATGCGTTCGGGTACATTGATGTATTTAGTGATGGTCTATATCTTACTGCTACAGATCGGATGAGTTGCTCGAAAATGCTTTTCGATTCCGCTTGTGACTGTGAGAATGGCTACATTACAACTTCTACATCATAGAACATTTACAGTGTATGTATTTCATGGTCATAAGTATATAGCGATTTCAAAAGGGAAAACTATGAAATTTTATTATAGATTCCCTTGTAGAGAGGGCTGAGGAGCCCCGTTGGATTCTATTCCCTGCTGTCAAAGATCAGGTGGAACAAGAAAATGAAGAACTTTTTCATAATTGTAGCAAATTTCCCTTTTGTGAATAGATGCATAGTTTAAAAAAATATATATTTTACAGTTTTTTTTTTTTTTTTTTTTTTTTTTTT